GTAAGAATGTAAGGTGGCGATACCTTGAAGCTATCTTTAAAGCCCTAAACAAGAAGTCTTTGTGTGTGTGTGTGTGGGCACATATACAAACACATATGTGTATATAACTAGAGAGAGTGACAGCAATAGTATTTTGCTGATAAACAGTATGTTAAGAAATTTAGTTAAGCACTATTTATATTCTCTTGGTATTTCTTGCTGTACCAAAATAATCTATGTATAACTGCATTCAATTATATGAAACTATCCCCAGTCCAAAGCTTATAATACCTATTTTTCTTTCACTGGAGACTTGATGCTGCTAGGTTGGACTAAGCCAGTTTTCTTCCTTTCTTCCTTCAGCAAAACAGGGCTGGTGTCTTCCAGTTGGGACAGACAGTTTTACTTCACACAGGGTGGAAACCTAATGAGCCAAGGAAGAGGTGAAGTAGCTGGAGGACTTGTAATGGATATAGACAATTGTTCAGTAATGGCTGTGGATTGTGAAGACAGAAGATACTGCTTTCAAATAACATCTTTTGATGGCAAAAAGTTTGTATTCTTACCACTTCTTACATATGTGTTTAGCAATGGAGAAACAATTAGAAAGTATTTCCTGCTACCTTTACTTTTTTCCTTGAAAGGTGGGAAAGAAAGAGGAATAAATCCTTGTCTTTCCCAGATTGAAAATTTGGCAGGTGTAAGACAAGTATCTATTACTTTAAGTCAAGTTATTTAATCAGATTTCGATGCTGCTCTGTAGGTGGCAATCTAAATATATTTTCTTATTTTTTTATCATTTTATTTCTTTGTCAAACTTGTATGCTGTCCATCTCGCCGAAGGTGATTATTTAGATTTTCATGTGTAATGCTGTCTACTGTATACTTGTTTTCTTTCTAAAAAGTTAGGGGTATGTTCAGTCCTTGTTTTCAGGTTAGAGGAAAAAGTTATCTGCCTGCTTTTTCTTTCCAACTGCCTGTTTTCTCCTCAGCTAAAATGTAATAGGGATACTTTCCTCTTGTTCTGTGCAATCTTACTGGTTTTTACTGAGAGAAATTAGCAAAAGACAAGCTCAGACAACATAAATTCTCTCTGAGATAATATTAATGGATAATTGTCCCTAGAACATAGCTCAAGTGAAACATGCCGAGTTCCAAAATCCAAAGATAAATATTATAGATGGGCAATGTCCATCAGGGTTTTTCTGTTTGGGATTTGGCAAGGAATAAATGCTATAGTGAATAAAGAATTGCATATATCAACAAATTGAAGCCAACAGCTTGATGAACATTTCTTTCCCCTGCTTTGTTTAAGAAATATTCAGTTTGTTTTTAATTTTTATTTCCTGATCAACAGGTCTTCAATTTTGCAAGCTGAGAGCAAAAAAGATTATGAAGAAGTAAGTTTTTTAACATAATGGTTATTGAAACTAGTAAATGTTTTGTGAAACTTTAAGGACTAAAATTGCCCAAACCTGACAAAGCTGTCTAAACAATGAAAGCCTTTCTTACAATAAATAGATCACTTTTTAAATGTGCCATCAGATTCCATTATTTTATTCTGCAATAAAATAAGGCAAGGCCATTAAGAAAATATGATGCTTATTCAGATAGTCCTCAACTTATGACCACAAGTGAGTCCAAAATTTCTGTTGCTAAATGAAACAGTTCTTAAGTGAATTTGCCCCATTTTACAACCTTTCTTGCCGCATTTGTTAAGTGAATCGTTGCAGTCGTTAAGTTAGTAACAGTTGTTAAGTGAATCTGGTTTCCTCATTGACTTTGCTTGTCAGAAGATTGCAAAAGATGATCACATGACCCCGCCATAAATATGAACCAGTTGCCCAGCATCCAAAATTTGATGAAGTGACCATGGTCATAAGTATGAAAAATGGACATAAATAACTTTTTTCCAGTGACATTGTAACTGAACAGTCACTAAATGAACTGTTGTAATTTGAGGACTACNAAGGTGGATTATATTTTTAGCTTCCAAAGAAAGATCTAAGATTAAATGTACTTTTATAAGTTCCAAGTCAATTGATAAGTATCTGAATTTTCTTTTGAAAGATAAACTTCTTTAAAATGGGCTCAGAAAACCTTTCTGAACAGCTGGAAGAATTTTTAACAAATATTGGGACAAGCGTGCAGGAGTAAGTTCATTTTTTCTCTCTTAAAAGTAATGCTGTTTATTTTAAAATATTACTTGTAGCTAATATGAATAAAATGAAAAAAAAACCCTATGGTTTTAGCGTTCGCAGGGAAATGGATCGTGAAGTGGAGACAATGCAACAGACTATAGAAGATTTGGAAATAGCCAGTGATCCGCTTTATTTACCAGATCCTGATACTACAAAATTTTTGGTCCAAAGAAACCTTACACGCAAGGCTGGTTATCTAAATGCAAGAAAGTAAGAACCAATTTCTTGGTTATAAATTATGGGGAGGTGTCTTGGAAACTGTGTTGTACGTAAAAAATAATTAGTAGTTCATAGTTTTTAAGATTTAAAATAATATCCAGTACCAACTAGCATTCTGTACTGATTTGTCATGATCTTGTTTATGATGTTTCATGCCACAATATATTATAATTTAATTTGTCTCAGGGTAGTTTGGCCAGAAACCTCGGAAGTGACATATCCACCTGGGAGAACAGCTGCTCCTTCATTTGTTATTTTTGTTGCAGCAGCTCCTCTTTAAAAGAGGCAGGCTATGGTGCAGCTTTAAAAGTGGATTGCATCTCTCTCTGGATTACGATAATTTATTTGTTTGTTCTTGCCTCCCCAAAGCTCAGAGGAGCACTAGTGACCTCCCCCATTTCATCCTCACAACAATTCCACGAGTGAGTTTAAAGTCAGCAGGAGATCGTATATAAAGTAGCACTACAAAATAAAATTTGTTTGCAAGTAATACTTTTTTGGGGGGATCCTGGCTCAAAATATTTTGGCATTACAACATTTCATTGTCCTTTAAATTATTGCTAGTGGAAATAGCAGACATAATATAATTTTTACCCATACTTTTAATAGCCTTCTATAAATATATTTTCACCATCTGGGAAATATATTTATCATATTTTTGACCGTCTGAGAAGAAGTGAATGAAAGTAACATTTCTGCTGTATGAACGTGGACACTGTTACCTGTGGTTTGACTACAGGTGTGCTGTGGAGTAAGAATGTAAGGTGGCGATACCTTGAAGCTATCTTTAAAGCCCTAAACAAGAAGTCTTTGTGTGTGTGTGTGTGGGCACATATACAAACACATATGTGTATATAACTAGAGAGAGTGACAGCAATAGTATTTTGCTGATAAACAGTATGTTAAGAAATTTAGTTAAGCACTATTTATATTCTCTTGGTATTTCTTGC